GTAGTTCAGTTATAATTTGCAAACTATCAATTAAAGTAAGATTTAGTGTATTTTGATGGCTAAATTGTAATACACCAGGCTAAAAATTAAACTGATCTACAACGGTTTCCTCCTGGTTTATAGCGAGTATGTTCACTCCGAGCGTCCGTGACCATCCTACAACGTTCATGCATACCCAGTAAAAATATCAGGGTGGAGCTTTGGAGAAGCTATTTGTTTCCCTGTTCCCTTACAAAACATTTCCCAAATGATGTGATGTGTCTGGTGGGTGAGGTGAATAAGATGTCCATCTTTGATACTAATCACGAATGTGTTCAGTGTGGATGAAATTTAGATAAATACTTGCCAAACCAATTCATATAAAAGTTTTCTGTTTAATGCACTCTTGCAATTAGAATTATTATAGGCCAATGTTACATCCGGTTCAAAGGCACTAATGAAATAACTAATAAAATAGGTACTAGAAACTCACTTAAATGTTTATCTATGATGCAGTCGGTGCAACGTTCTCTGGACGGAGGTTAAGACAAAACCTGAACCCGTCTATGATAGTGAACTAAGTGTTAGAGACACCTTTGCTTTCTGAGATTTATTTTAAAACCTCTGTCAGTGACATGGCAATCAGCTCTTAGACTGGCCAGCTGTAACCTAGTTTCTCAGGGTCTATTGTTGGAGTTGAATCAAAATAGCTTGATGAAACTGTCTGTTGAGTTTCATAACATAGACAAACACACGTAAATAATGGCACAGCTACGGGTTATCAGAAGCCTAATCTTTAGTCGATATTAGTGTTTGTTACTTTTTGAAATTCGAAAATTTAGTCCTTTAAAAAAATTCTAGATCCCTAGTTTGTTTCTGCCCCGTATATGTAACTGAGTCATGAAAACTCAAGTTATTTAACAGAATAAATTATCTCATGTATTTCAAAAGCTCTTTGTAAACTATTTTAATACAATACACTACTTATTCATGATACCTAAAATCTACGGATATTCTAGAGAAGTTAAGTTACTTATTCTTTAAGTTTTAGGTTATGCTACAACTGTTTAAAGTATACGCTCTTTAAATAGCTAATCCTACATATAACCATCTTCGCTATTTAAAAAAATGTATAGCCTCAGGTAAATTTTTTTTCTCCAGGAAAAGGAACAAACTTTATGACTACCATACCATTGTCATACACCACAAGGTTTGATGAACAAAGCATGGAAACTTTACCGGATTTTAAGCTGGATAACTTTTCAACCTGTGGTGAGTTAATTGAAACACATACTTATGTTTGTTTTATTATTAGTTTACTTTTTTTAGGAATATGTTGTTCCTGTTTTCAGTTGTATTATAAAATTATTCTCATATTACAGGTTTCTTTTATTTTCATCAAAATAAGATTGAAGATATAATCTGTGACCTGGAGCCCTGATGTATTCTTTGATTCGCTGCACTTCATGGTGTGGACTGCAGTTTTGCCTATTTAAGGCTCAACTGCACAGCTTGGGCCAGCAAATTAAAGAATTACAGTTAAGCCTCTCATAATGAAGATTTGTATAAAATATTTTTTAAGTTAATGTTTCTTTGAATGCCCGAAGAATAAAACAATTTTTATGCAGATAATAATTTAAAGCAGTACCTTTGATATTTGTTTTCTATGAGACGTTGATTTTATTATTATTTTTACCAATGGTTTCTATCTACTGTGTAAGTGTCTGACGATATAAAATTAAAATTTCCAATAACTCGGTCAATGGTAAAAAAAAGCCTATCAGCTTGTGAGAAAACAGTTTGTTAGAAAAAGACCTAGTTAAATCATGAAAGCGAATCAAACTTTCACGTACGCTGCGTAGATAACAACTTGAGTTCTTACTGTATTTTCACTAGTAATATAGAGATTGAGTACATTATATTAAAACGATTAAAACGTCTTTACAGTCCATGTCCGGTCATGCTCTATTTGAGATCGTGAATCTTGACAATAGTCCTGCAGTGTAGTTTCCATTGCAATAGGCTCTGACGTGAAGCTATAATGTCCAAACACATCACTCCTCATTTCATACTTTCCATAAACCATCTAGTGTACAAGAACGAAGGTTTTCCAGCACAAAAATATATTGTTGCTGCATTTGACAATTTGTCTTGATATGGAATAGTATGAATACCTGTTTCATTCTCCAGCTGTTTAGGTACGCAGTGTTTGAACGGATATGTTGTGGAAGCATCTTGTGTACACGTGATTCGTGTGGCTTTTCCAGCGAAAATTCTTCATGATTATGTTGCGTACTGTTGACTGAGACACGGATTGTCTAAGTACTAGGATATCTTCATTCTGGAAGTTCTAATTTCCCGATCTGAACGCACTTGAGGATCTAATGTATGAACATTTTGTGTCGAAAACGGTCGTTACATAACCTGCCCAAAAGCGATAATGTTTCTGTGGCATCACAGTACCTATGGAACGTAGAAAAAATGTTAAAATCTTGTTCTGGTCTATATCGTTCCATTACGATTTTATATCATCTGATTTGAATATTTAAAATCGATTTATTATAACGTACTCAACTCTCTGTAGTTTTGGCTTCAACAACAGCTTAATGAAGAAAAAATTAAAACTTTGTATTATCAACTGCTTCCAATAAAACGAAAGAATAAAAACAAAACATGAAAACAATTTGGTCAGACGTCTAGAGTGGTCACGAAGGCCAATGGCCAATTACTTTTTACTCTTCACTGTCAAAAAATGCGAAGTATCATATGGATGCCTGAAAAAAGATGCAAGAAGAGAAGCTGAAGTGACTGCTACCGTTAGGTCACATTTGTTGACTATATTAGAAAATAGAAAAACTAATAGAAAAATATCAAATGTGAAAGAAGATGAAGAACTAATGAAGGAAATAGATGAGTAAAAGCAAGTTGTGTTAAAATAGTAACAGTTTAATAAGTTTTGTGTTGTTTTTTGTTGTTATTGTTACTGTTTTATTGAAACACATCGGTTAAGATGTGTAATCTTTGAGAAACACTGGGAAGAATAGAAGCTTGGTGAAGATAAGATGGTGGTGACCAAGTGTGTTGTTATTTTAAAAGTTTATCCTGGGAAGCAGAGTTGGTGGTTAATCTTCTTCCATATTTATACAGGCCGGGTATTGTCTCATGGTGAGCGTTCCGGAGTGTGAACCTGTGGGTTTCTGCAAAAACGCGTTCCGCACTTTGGGGCTGTGGGTATCTTATAAGAGTGACTATCAAATTCCACTATACTCGATTGAAGTAGCCCAAGAAATTGCGGCTGGTGCTGCTGAATAGCTAATGCAGATAGTCTTTGTGCATTTTTACCAAACAAACCATAACCCCACCTATTCATAAACAAGCTTTATAGTTATTGAGACTATTGGTTACCACACAACATAAGGCATTAAATAAAGTTAGTAAATAATTTAAGTAGTTATCCCACTTTAATGGACTGGTTTTTATGAGTTGGGTGTAGTAAAGATAAAAGTAAATTTAGAATTTTTTTCTTAATTTTTTAAGCAATTTTATTGAAAATGATCGTATTTTGTAAAAGTTTCAAAAGGACTCTTCTTTTATTGTGTTTTATAAACTACAACTGAATTTTGATGGAAGCCGGGGGTTCATTCTAGGAATTGCACCAAACTGGAGTATATAGGAGAGAAGAAGTAATATTTACTTCAATAATTTGGACTAATGGCAGAATCAGATTGCATCTCAGCTGTAAATGAAAAACAAAACAAAACAAAAAAAAAAAAACACACAGGAAAAAAATAATATTGATTTTTATTACCTAAACGATTTTCCAGTTATAGAATAAACATATTTGATAATAGATAAATGAATCTGGCTTTTATTGTGCTTTTAGCAAAGTCTATCATTTTAAACATGTTTCTTATTGTAAAAAAGAAATACATTCACAGTTTCTTATTTCAGCTGAATTTTTTATTAACTGTTCCAGTAGAACGCAGTGAAGAAGTAATAATCTAGCTAGTAGCTATTTTATGTTATAGAAGAATCTTCAATGTTGTTGAAAACTTTCTTTTCTTTCAGGTTGAAAAAAGTAGCCTAATGATAGTTTTTTAAAAAGTGTAGAAAGACAGCTGACTTGAGAGGTCTGAAGATCTTTTGGATAATAGAAATGTTGGCAGACTTCCACATTCAAGGCTACAGCTAGATATGAGAGACAAAGAGAATGACAATTAAAAATAACAAAGAAAATGTCATTTCTTTTACGAAACAATTCCTGATATCATCTTACTCTAGAGGAGGGGTGTTGTTAATTTTACTGACCATGAATATAACCTCAGTTAGAGAGGTATCCCCTCCCCCACAAAGAATAAATGATGTCGTCGTTATAATTACAGAATACAGAAAATGTCTAGTGAAGCTGTTTTTATAATGAGATTCCATATTATTAAGAAACTTATTATTAAGAAAGTGAGGTGACGAAGAAGGATTGGTACTAGTTTTAAAATAAGACTGAAGTTCTCTGTTGATCTCACAAAAGATTTAGAGATTTGCAGAGAAACTTCTCTACATTTACCAAATAATCTATTTTGATACAAATTTAGAGTAACTAGTGTTTTAAACTAATTCCAGTTATATTTCAATTCGTGGGAGAAGGGGCATAACTGCTAACGTTATTGTGGACAGTATAGCTATTACGTAAGTGATTACTGATTATGTGGAAATGATAAAACCAAAAACATTTTCAAAACATTCAGTATATGATTTGGAGGAACAAAAAATAATAATTACGTTGATTTGGGGTGTTATCATTGAGGAACAACAAATAATAATTACGTTGATTTGGGGTGTTATCACTGAGGAACAAAAAATAATAATTAAGTTGATTTGGGGGTGTTATCATTGAGGAACAAAAAATAATAATTACATTACAAGAGGGTTATTTTGTAGTAAAGCACAAAGCAACACAAAGGGCTGTCTGTACTCTGCCCACCACGAATATCAAAACCCGGTTTCTAGCGTTATAAGTCCGCAGACATACCGCTGTGCCACTGGGGGCGTTACAAGAGGGGGGGGATAGTACACCGTTGTACAATGATAGCTTCTTGTTTAAGTACCTTAAGAAATTGTTGTTGTGTTTTTAAGTAAACGGCTTCAGATATAAAAAATTAAGCTAGATTAGGCTTATTGTGAATGGACGAAACAAAAATTACTAGTTTATTTCGATATAATGAAAAATTGACACAATACACTCATTATACTAGAATTGAAAGATGATAAAAAAGAAAATGGAGTTAGCTTTGATAAAATACGACTATATTACAAGTATCACTTCTGAAAGAATTAGAGTGGGCAGTGACCGCAGTATAACCAGGAATTTGACCGATATTATGAAGTCAACTTTAAACTCGCATGGATGTACTAATTAAAAAATCAAATTAATTTTTGGAGTAGTATTAGGATAATTCGAAATGGAATAATTAGAAAAATCAGATTAATATTTGAAGTAGTTGAGTTTTTTAATTAGAAAACTACGAAAAAGATACTAACGTAAGAGAATACAGTACTAAAATTATGATCTTCACATACTATAAACAGGTATTGCAAGTAAAATATGTGAAGGGGGACAAGGGTGAATCATTGTTTGTACTTAAGCACAAAGCTACACAATGGGCTGTCTGTGCTTTACTCACCACGGGTATCGAAACCCGGATTCTAGCGTTCAAAGTCCGCAGACATACTGCTGTGCCACTGGGGGGCGAATTAGAAAGTGAATCAAGCTTGTCATATGTGCGTGCTTGTGAGAGCATGTGGAGACTAGGGGTGAACTGGGGCATACCCCACCCGTAAATTTTTACAATTCGAATAGTAATTTGGGGCTATTTTGACTAGGTTGTGTCCACGATATAATGGATCTCACGGAAGAAAGTTACAAGTGAAACTAATATGAAAACAAGCAGTTTCATGACCAACGTAGCTGAGCCTATATTTTTTACCCTAATCTCTATTATCTTTTCCACTCACTATTTCACGGGGGTGGGGGGATTGGCCCAGTGGTACACCTCAGGGTTTCAGAGCTGGTGAACCAGGCTCAAGTCCGTGCGATACCACAAAATCTTTCTCGAACTTTAAGCTATAAGTGAGTTATAAGAGTGACAGTCAATCCCTTGGCGTGGATGGTGGTGGGTGGAACGGTGTGCTGCTGACTGGCTGCCTTCTTTCTAGCCAGTTAATCAAATCTAGAGACGGCGGCATATAGCTTTAGTAGTTTTATCATAAATATGAACTATAGATACTTTATTTCCAGCGAGAAATTTCATTTTAGAATCTTTGTCTCTTTATAATAAGTCGTTATTTTAGATTAAAACCTCAACTGAAGTTGGAGAAATCGCACACTTACTAAAATTTTGGAAGAACCGAAATAGGTAGAATCCCCAACTGTCCCGATGCCTGTTCATTAATTCTATAAAAACAACTGCATTGATTTGTTTTTTATAGGTAGGTAGATTAAGAGAGAAAAACTTTTAGAAGTTAAATACAATGTTATAACTATATATGATTCAATAAAACAGTATATATATTTAATTTTGATCGTAACAAGAAGTTATTATTTTATGTTAGAAGAACAATTATTAGAAAAATTATTATTTGTAGTTGATCTGCTTTCAAACTCAAAGATCAGAACCCGTCGACTTAAACCAGAACCTTCAACTCCTTCAAAACTGACATCTAGCCCTGTAGGTGAAACTTCTCCTCGTGTTGAAAACAGAATTAACACTGAAGACACACAAGCACGTACTACCCAATGTCAACGTAGAGGAAGTCTTCAGTTGTGGCAATTTCTGATTGGCTTACTAGATGATCCAGCTAATTCTGCATTCATCGCTTGGACGGGGAGGGGAATGGAATTCAAGTTGATTGAGCCAGAAGAAGTACGTATTTATTTATGTTATTATCAATAGCCAGAAGAAGTACGTATTTATTTATGTTATTATCAATAGCCAGAAGAAGTACGTATTTATTTATGTTATTATCAATAGCCAGAAGAAGTACGTATTTATTTATGTTATTATCAATAGCCAGGAGAAGTGCGTATTTATTTATATTATTATCAATAGCCAGAAGAAGTACGTATTTATTAATGTTATTATCAATAGCCAGAAGAAGTACGTATTTATTAATGTTATTATCAACAGCCAGAAGAAGTACGTATTTATTTATGTTATTATCAATAGCCAGAAGAAGTACGTATTTATTAATGTTATTATCAATAGCCAGAAGAAGTACGTATTTATTAATGTTATTATCAATAGCCAGAAGAAGTACGTATTTATTTATGTTATTATCAATAGCCAGGACTGTTTGTTTATCACTATTGGCTTAGCATATTATATGTTAAGAGATACCTTAATAAGCTAAATATACGCCATTCTCCCCTAAATAAGGCATAAATTACTTAAAGGTATCTTGGAGTTCATTGTAGTTTATAATGTATTGATTGAAACTTAATATTTTTTCCATATCTCACAGACCATAGCATACACTTTTTGTTTGTTAGTTGTTAAGCACAATTTGTGTCCGCCGCTGGTACCAACAGCCGATTTTTAGCTTTATAAACACTCAGACTTACCACTAAGCCTACCCCCCAGTGGCACAGCGGTATGTCTGCGGACTTACAACGCTAGAAACCGGGTTTCGATACCCGTGGTGGGCAGAGCACAGATAGCCCTTGTGTAGCTTTGTGCATAATTAAAAACAAACAAACCACTAAGCAACTGGGGGCAACATCGAATGAACTAGGTTTCAATCAATGTGAATTATCCACCAGAGGTGCATCTTATAAAATCGAAGTGTTATAAAATATGTTATATCATTTTCAGATATCTCAGTAATACATTATATATATATATATGCTTATATTTTCAACCTCGTGCTTCTAGCAATGTACTAGAAGGCAAAATTAAGAGTTTTGTTGAAATATAAAGTATACACAATATGTATAAACGTAATTTGCAAAAATAAACTGATACAAAGGTAATAATGTCCTCATAAACATGATACAAGTGTCAAATACATCTTGATACAAAGCTAATAATGTCCTCATAAACATGATACAAGTGTCAAATACATCTTGATACAAAGCTAATAATGTCCTCATAAACATGATACAAGTGTCAAATACATCTTGATACAAAGCTAATAATGTTCTCATAAACATGATACAAGTGTCAAATACAACCCGATACAAAACTAATATTGTCCTCATAAAACATGGTACAAGTGTCAAAAGTCTGCATTAGTAAACAGTCAGATTTGTTACACTGGCGCAACTTCATAAAGATGCTCATGATACTCTTCAAATTCTTTAATGAATATACGTTATTCAAGAGACCTAAATAAAGTGCCCCAAGGTAAGCTTCGTCAAGCTAAAGAAAATCATATTCTATGAGATTTTTATTTTGCACATTTTGAAAACTTCATTCTTCCTACATTGTATTCACGCAAATATTGTGTTTTGTGCTAGATAAGACTACAGTTCCATCTACTGGAATAAAGACTTTAGTAAAGTATATTGACATTTATTTTAGTCATAGCTGCTTCTTATCATCTTGTAATAAAATTGCTTTTAGGTATTTTTGATAGTATTTTTTGTTTATACAGTCAAACATGTAAAATTGATATACAAGAACCTTTAATATTGCAATTATTATTAAAATATTTAGAGATTAGAGACACATTTTATCACTGACATTCAAATTTTTAGGCTGTACGTATTCAGTATTTAGGCACAGACGCTAATATATCTTGATATGATTTTCATTGCTAAGGAAACACTAAAATATCACTGTGATGTACATTTTATGTAATTCACTGCTATAAAAAAACACTGAAATATCACTATTAGGCAAATCCAGTATAAATCAGTTATTTTGTTCGTTTTCGGATATTCGCGTAAAGCTACTCAAGGGCTATCTGGGCTACCCGTCCCTAATTTTAAACTGCTAGGCTAGGAGAGGACACCTAGTCAACTCTTGGGCTGCTTTTGTTTGACCGAATAGCGAGATTTGGCAGTCACAATTATAACACACCCACGACTCCAAAATGTAGAGCACGAATTTTGTTTTTGCGGTAAAGGGAGTGAATAATGAACACATATATATCCATAATATAACGCAGCAATTTTGTTTTGAATATATTAACGCCTATATAAACTTACAGATATCTTTTTTAACTAGCCGCTGGAAGCTACTATAGATTAATAGGAGGAAAATCTAAACCAAGACATTTGATAAGTGATGAAGTTCGTACAGACAGGATACAGTTTTGCAAAAAACAAAAAGCGAATAAAGACTGCAAAAATATTCAAAGATTAAAACATCAAAGAAAAGAAGATAATAGCATAAGCTTGCTGATATTTTCCAGTTTGTTTCATCGCTATGAGAAAAAGAGCCACGAGGGATTAGGGAGAAGTAGAAAGTTTGACAATACGTAGATTTCATGTTCATAGAAACATAATTTATTTCCGTTATATTTCTTAATGGTTTCTCTTTGGCTAAAGTAGCATTTTTACCTCGTATTTTTATTTCAGTTGAGCAAAAGATATTTGAATTGGTTCCATTGTATCGGTGGGGGAGGGGGCAGGTAGACCAGGCCCCTCAAGATTTCCTTTTAGTCTCCAGCTTTCGCTTCTACTCGTAGCGCCATTTATGTATTAAATTTTAAAGTACAGTTTAGTTTCTTATCTAGAAAAATCTCTTGAGACCTACAAATATGGTCTTAAAATTAGAAAAAATAGCTTATTTAAAAGTATTTGTACTGATTAAAAGGTTAAAAATTCGAGGAACTTATGTAAAGGACTAACTAAAATGCCCTAACGATCAATATTTTTCAGTACATAATCTATAAAGTATCAAAGCAGACACTGTTTGTTTCAACGGGATCACGTCATTCTCAGGAGTGTAAAATAAAAACACGGTTGCAAACCATTCATTCCAAGCTTCAGTAAAATATTCGTAACCGTTTTATTCTGTAACGGCTTGTAAAACTATAATAAATAATAATAAGGCTGGAGACATTGTTAGAAATATACACATTATTTACTTTAATAAAACGAACCATTTTTGACTAGAATGATGGTGCTGGCGTGGCTTGTACATTTTTGCAATGTTTGAATGGCTTCGAAGAGCTTATTTTTGTAGCGAAGAAGAATTTTGAAAATTTTAGTTGGTGGAACTCTCGATTTTCAAGAATCAACTTGGAAAATAGCCCTACAACCTTCGCAGGAGTTTGTTTAGTAGCTGTGCATAGATTTTGGCGCAGTAAACCTAGCCGTTTTTGATGGAAGGCTTCAGTGTTTTGAATGTTTTCGACTGGAAACTTGGCCAGTAGCAATGAAAAACTGATAAAATATTTCCCTCTCTTTCAATAATTAAAATAGTCTTAGGACCTGCACAGGAGTTTTTAGTAGGTATGTCGAGGTTTGAATAAACTATTCATAGCCGTTTTTACTGTAGGCTCGTGAAACACGAATAATATGAATAATAATAATAATAATAATATGAAGAACAAATGGATAAATTTTTAGTTTTGTCTAACAATCGGAAAATCAACTTTTTTGCAATTATTAATATTTTAGCAGCCTTAGCCATTGAGATAGAAGGTCTTGGGTGTTTTTTCAAGAACAAGTCTGCCTTTTAAGATGGTTTTTTTGACCGTATGTTCTATTAGTATTCTTGTGAAATTCCTAGGCGAACCAGGCCCGGCATGGCCAGGTGGATAAGGTGCTCGACTCGCAATCTGAGGGTCGCGGGTTCGAATCCCCGTCCTACCAAACACACTAGCCCTTTCAGCCGTGCGGGCATTATAATGTGACGGTCAATCCC